TCCATTATGTGTTCATGAATAGAATAGTCAATATATTGGAATGAATTATCATCTATAGGAAGCAGATCATTAGATTGATAAGCAAGAGTTAAATCACGAAGAAAGATTGATGTTGATGCTCCATCAAACATTGCATGATGAATGGTAAATAATATGAGATCATCTTTAGTTAATAGATCATCATTATTCTGAGTGAATGAATGATTTGATTGTTGATGACGAAGAATATGACAATTAATCACATGTCCTTTTGATAAATCAAATAAATTTGATTGATTTAGTATCTTCTTTACAATTTTATTCTGTTCATGCTCTTCATCGGGAAGATTGGTCGAAAATCCTGATGATTTCTTATCATTGATAATAGTATTTGTATCTAAACAATGTTGTATAATAGTCCCATTTGTATCAAGATAGAGTGCCGTTCGGAGAATTTGATGTTTTGTTATGATAGATTGAAATGCATGTTGTAATCGTGAAATAGATATATGATTATTTATAGATATTATTCGATAAATTAATGGAATAACATACATGTTAGTATGATTATTTGTTGATGAAAATCGAATGTGTTCATCTAAGAAAATACGTTCTTGAGCATAAGATGCTCTCGCTACAAGAGATATATAGAACATAGTTAATATAATATTCTTAAACATTCTGTTACCTTTCATGATATGTAATGAAGACCAATAATATTCATTGAGATTCTTCGTCATATTGACAATTTGTTGAATGAGTTGAGCATGATGAATAATTGTTGGATGTTGAAATAGACTCGAAATAGAAAGAGAACTTGTTTGAAGATGAAATTGAGTTTTATATCGATGAAATAGTTGCATAATCATAAGTGAATGACCACCAAAGGAGAAGATATTTGTGTTAGTTGAGATTTGATTTTGTTTGAATATGTCACACCAAATATGATGAATGATGATTTCTATTTCATTCATTGGTAACAACAGTATGTCATGATCGGCGAGATGTGTTGATGATAAGTTAGGTGATGGAAGAAGTTTTCGATCTATTTTACCATTTGCATTTAATGGTAGTTTGTCAAGTATAATAAATAATGAGGGAATCATATGAGATGGTAAATATGATTGACAATGTTCTCGTAATTCATTCTCATTAATATGAGAACTTTGAACATAAGCAACTAAATGATCATCATTCCATTTGATAACAACACAAGCAGAAATGGATGCAATGTTAAATAAACATCGTTCGATCTCTCCTAACTCAATTCGTTGTCCATGCAGTTTGATTTGATGATCCATTCTACCTTGATAGTGAATTGGTCCATTGTTATCCATTCTAACGAGATCACCTGTTCGATAGAATAACTCATCATCAACTTTAATCAGTGCTTTTGCAGTTAAATCATCACGTCCAAGATATCCAGTAAAGACACCAACACCTCCAACAAATAATTCTCCTTCTTGATTAATAGATGTATTTTGTAAGAATTTATTTAAAATCAAACATCGATAGTTAGGAAGTGATCTACCAATTGGAATGCTTGTAGAATTAGCTTTGACATCAACAAGATGAAGAGTACAAGCGATTGTTATTTCCGCAGGACCGTAGTAATTCCATACATTATACTCTGACACACTGTTATTTGCGATCAGAGCACTTAGTTTAACCGAGAACGGTTCGCCTATAAAGATAGATAAGCAGAACAAAATGCTAAAGTTCCTCCCCAAGCTACCTACCACCACTACAAAGTGATCGGAAATGTTTTGAAGTGATAGTCTTGCTAGACTGTGCCATAAGTGTGAAAAACCCTTGAAGTAAACTTGGAACCATGAACATGTATGTAATTTGTTTCGTCTGTACGACATTGGAAAGATAATCAAAATCAATTGTTCCTCTTGGATGAACCATAACCAATGTAGCCCCGTGCATCAAAGTGCCAAGTATTTCTTGAATATGAATGTCAAATGAACATCGTCCGATCTGAACTGCAGTATCATCTTTGTTGAATACGTCGATCTTTACTAACGAATTCATGAAATGAATGAAATTTTCATGGCGTGCTTGAATCTATTAGAATATAGAACAATAAAAACTATGGTAGAAATGCAAATGTCAACATACTGCTTTCGGTATTCCAGTTGAGCCACTTGTGAAAATGATATAGGCAATATCATTAGGCGTGGCTGTAATACTTGATAGTCGATCAACATTAATATGACTTGTGACATCATTGCTCGTCAATATTATACCAATATCAAATGAAATACTATTATTATCAAACTTCATTTTTGTCAGCCAATGAAAAAGAACAAGACGACTTTGAGTTTGTTGTACAAGTGTATATAAACGATGTTCTGGGTCTCGGGGTGATAATGGACAATATATACCACCAGTCATTTCAATCGCCATTGTACCAATTACCTATAAAATATGAAAACATCAATCACACTAAACATCAATCTCAAACAACGACTCACCATTGACAAACTTCGCTCGACACATTGACACACAACTTCACCTGG